AAAGATATTTTTTTTATTTGATCGGTACACATCTTCGTATGTGTCTCCGAAACTTGCACGAAGCGATGAGTATAGTATTTTTTTTACGTCGGCCCTTTATAGGATCACGATTTCTTTATTTCAGACATGGTGACTATTCGCCTTTTAGCTGAAGAGTAGGATATTTTTTTCAGCATGCCCATACAAATCTTCTAGCACTTTGTGAACTGAATGTGGATCCAAGGAAATAGATCTTTCTCATCGAAGATGGTACCTGCTGACTGCACATGGCGAATCTACTGACAACCTATTTTAAGGAAGAAGGTAAGAGCACTCTATGTTTACGGAGAAAGACAGAACGTTATTTGATTTTTAATTAAGAGTAAAGTGATAAGTGTAGCTGTTTTTGTGCGATTGTTTGCAGTATCGGTAATCTATGTTTCACATTATGTAGACGTTCGAATTGAAGCAAAGAAGTAGAATCATCTTTTTTCTGCACATCGATGTATATCTTTTATCAATTTGACAATTAAGTGTTTAGCTTTGATAATAGTGACTTCTAAACTATTGAGATCATCGTTTATTTTACGTTTTACTTCCACTGATAGCTGGTTCACAAGGATCCAGATAAGGACATGTTTCTTTTTTATGTTTATTTGAACAACTAAATTAGAGATTGTGAAAGCATCATGGTGACAACTACAGTGTACTTTGTGTTTTGTTCAATTTCATTTTTCTCATGCTAAAATATGAACATTTATAATCTTGGAATTACCTTTTTATTCTTCTTGGACAAACTTTAACAAAACTTTGAAGGAATCATTGGTCGCATATGATTTTTTGGATTTATTTAGTTTGCAACTGCAAGTTTTTATCTGGTGGCTAATTAAGCCCGAAACAGTCGAATCATATCTCAAGCAAGTAATTGTAGACAGCACCATCTCTAAGACTTTTTTCATAACGGCTCTTCAAGCAACTACATAAAACCCATTTACTCGTCCATTATCTACTGTGTCATTATCTTCCTTATGAAAGTTTCCGATATGTATGGTTAAATACTGTGCTATGGCATATAATCAAAAGTTCTGATAACGCTTATTTAATACCATCGAGTAGCGCACGGGAAAATGGCTTTGCGAACTTTCTCATCCGTATCATATTTTTATTTTAGCTGCATGTTATATAGAATTCCTTTTCTACTTTAGTGAAGAATCCAGGAATGTTTTATGACTGTTTCATATTTCAATGAATAAATTTCGTTGACAATTACAGAACGCTATAAAGCACGATGCTTAACATCTGATTGTCAAGCTTTATCGTCATTAATATGGTGTGAGTTTTCGAGTAAACGAAAATACTATATAGGTTTCCAAATACTATTGATGTGTGGTGCTTTTGCTAAATGGTGGAGATTATTCTACTTTGGTCTAACCTCGTACATATTTACTTTCCAAATGTTTTGTTTACCTATTTATCCTCATTCTAGATCGAATCAAGTGATACATAATCGAGACCGATATGGGTGAGCGTGCGTGTGTGCGTATAGATGTCACTGAGGATATCAGCGAGGATGTCGATATTCGTGAAATATGGTGCTTCTTTTTAGTATTAAAATAATTATACTAAACCCAAATCGACCTATTGCCACACTCACATACCATACCGACGCAATTACGGTCCACAGCAGCACATCCGCTTGGTACTCCCACACCCTCACACCCAATACAATACATCGCACCGTCACATCTCTATGCTCACCTAGATCTACGCTCTACATCTAGATGGATCAAAAGATCTGACAACTACACGAAAATACCGTCATGAATGTGCAAAGACGCAAAACTGACATTCAGAGTCAACCTCATCATAACAGCATTCAAAACTCGCACGTATAACACGTAAACATACAGACTTCTCTCCCAAGCTCACACTCATGACAGCACGCCCACATCTCACACTTACATCTACTACCTCCATATGAATGGCATAACTGTCGGTCTGAAGAAACTGATTGAATGTAACTTGAATATCGAAGACATCCGACAAACTGTATTAATAGTATGAAAAAATTAATTGGTCGAACGCTATATAGGGAATACATGCCATGCGCTGAAACTTTAGCCTGAGAAAACTGATTAGATGAAAGCTAGAAATGGAAAACATCTGGCAGACTGAAATTTCTGCCACAATAAGAACGGCTTGGTTGAGGGCTGAATAACCAAAGCATCTTATTAGCTGGATTCCTAGCATCAAATAGCTTCATCGGACGAATACTAGATAATGAGAAAGTCTGACTAAACGAAAGCTAGATAGTAATAATATTTGATTTGATGGCACACAGATCAACAAAATCACATGATTGGCTGAATCTCCAGATTGAAAAAATTTCATTTCAGATAGTAGCTCAAAATCCTTACAAATATACGTATATACGTGACTTCATATGTGCAAGCAAACTCATATTAACTCATATACCCTACCTTAAGTCGAGAGAATAACCACCAAGAATAAAAAGAATAAATATATACTATTAAACAGGTTTTTCAACGATAATTTGGCAAACATCACTAGCTAATGTAAGATCCTTGCGTGATAAAAACAGATCTGAACTTTCTGGCAAGATACCTGTAAACCAGATCTTGGCTGATTAAGTAAGAACTACTGCGCTAGTAAAATTCTAGTATTTTTGAAACTTCTGCTTAATCCTTATGATTCAGATGTAGCTCTTATATAGGTCAATAGGATTATCTTCTATGATTAAAGTTCTGTATTTACTACAAGATTTCAGTAAAATATCTGAAAAAGTTAAAGATCAGTACTATAAATTAAATTACATCCCATTTTACATAACGCACAAAAGAAGAGATAAAGAACCTTTATAATGGAAAATAAAAAGAACCAAGTAAAATACAATATTAAAGGCGAACTATTAACCGAACAAGTTCACCATTAAGAAAAAAAGAGAAACAAATAATCGAAGCAATCTATCTACATTATAAAGATGTTTATCTTTTATCTTTCATCTTCTTGATAGAGTTGTTGTTGGGCCAGTAGATGACTCTTGTTCATTAAATTGAACGTGATCGAAAACGATCATAGACGTAACAAAATGAATAGCAAAAAAAGTTTAATTGAACGTAATAAATATTAACTGTTGTCATGTAGAAATGAATAACACAAGTTCAGATGTTCGAATACATATGTATGTATAAAGACGTCCCGTACTACTTGTCTTGAAGGTTAGATAATAATCTCTTAATTGGAAAAAGTATTTTGTCCAAATTTCAAGGAAATCTAATTCAATCCAATCAATATACTATTCATCTTGAATCTCAAGCAAGAATTTTTTTTTCTTTTCTGTTGAAAAGCATACTGCCAGAACACCAAGATTAAAAAGAATCTTCGTTGATTAATCAAGAAAAACAAGAAGCTGCAAAGATCAATGACAAGAACGTCGACTAATGCAGATAAATTTATTAATTCTTCGTCTAATTTTGATTGATTGCACTTATTTTTATTTGTGCCTTGTCTAGATATTTCATGCCAAGAACATTTTAATCGTATACGTACAAATGCACTTTCTAATTTTATTTATTACATACTCTTTTATCCTACATAGAGAATTAATATAACCTGTAGTGAAAATATTAAAAGAAAAAGGAAAATGTCAGTTGTTTCAGTTATAAAAAAATAACATCTATTTACGATCATACTTCATTAGATTACAATAAGTCACTGTATATCGCAAGAAAATACTTGACGAGTTTTCTTGTAAAAATACAGTTTATTTTTCTATGGTTAACTAGAGTCCTTTTGAAACTTGATTTATTGGACTTGAAACTTGATAAATGTCACACTGATCTAATATAATATTTATCTTATATGGAAATAATTTAAGTATCTATTTTATTGACGATTTTCCCTAAGGTGATAACCGAACGACAAGAAGCAATCAACAAAAGATCATCTATTGGATAGAGATAGTTATTATATAAATTTAATAGAGAGATGTGTTATCTCAAAGTTCCTATATCTCAAAGGAAATCCCTTTTTATATAAGTCTTCGATGTCTGTGAAGTAAACATTGGCTAATTCACGAGTTTTATAGAACAAAAGATCCACTTTCTCTTCATTTTCCAAGATTAATACGGTGTTAGAAATTGTCGACGTAAAAAGACTTATTATATGAAAATTATTCTGCATTACTTTTGATTAAGTTTGGCTTCCGTATTGAATATATTTAGTATGAGCAATATTGCTAATTTAAAGACTTGTTTTAACTATAATCAAATATGTTTATTTCATTCAAATAGAACAAAAATTACGACTTGAACACGACCATTTGTTTTAGAAAAAAAAAGTATCTTAGAATAATAAAACATATCATTAATGAATAGTTTTGTATTCTATACGACGTCTCCAATTCCTGTAAAAATGATATTTCTGGTTTCATATATATATATATGTATTTATACCAATAGTAAGCAGTATTCCAAAAATAAACACCAACATATTACTAAATCTAAATTAAATACCAGATGTAGAGCATGCTAGAGAATTATTTTCTGTTTTTGATTGTCATATGAAACTAATAAATCAAGAAAGAAGAATTGATCCAAATAAATATATTCATTATGTCCCATACTGTCACTGATAACAATAGTATGATTAATCACTCTTTTATGAGAAAATAGATTAAGTTTTTTGTAATTTCGGTCAAGCTAATAGTTCATTTTTTTTTATTTGTTTTTAATTATCATATTTTTACCAAACAAAAACGTGCTCGAGATGGTAAAGGATTGGTTGCAATAGTTTAATATTGGAGCGTTGGTAAAGGGAAGAAAAGAAATCAACGCTAAAAATAAAAGGTAAAAAAATAATACAAAAAAAAAAAAGAACTCATAAACAAAGCAACCAAACTTCGTCACACTTATTCATTGTTTTAACTAAATATGATAGAGCTATTCGATAATGTCATTTTTTTTTCATTTTCGAATGAATAGATAATTTTGCTTCTTTTTTTAAGCAAGTTTATCGAGAAAAACACGCACTTCAGTAAAAACATCATCTGGTGCTAATTCTGAATTGACCTGTAGCAAAACAACAATTTTAAGTATATATATATATATAACAATTATATTTTAATAAAATACCTCAGCTAATTTGCCTTGTTTTTCATATAAATCTAAAACAGGAAATGTTTGATCATGAAATGTTTTCAAACGATTTTTAATTGTTGCTTCATTATCATCAACTCGACCAGATGTTTGACCACGATGTAATAATCGTTTTGTCATTGTGTCATCACTTGCTTTAACATAAAGAACAAGATTACATGGTGCAATCTAAACAGAAAAAAAATAAAATAATATAAAATAATTATTTATTATTAAATCTGCTAATATTCATAACTGACCATTTCTTCAAATTTTTTTGCTTGTGGAATTTCACGTGGATATCCATCGATAAGAAAACCCTTTGATTTTTCTATATTTTTAAGCATATTCTCTTTGAGTAAATCGAGAACAACTTCCTAAAAAATTGGTTTTTGAAACTAATTTTTAATAAAAGATATTTATTCAAATACCATCGGTACTAATTTGCCTTCTTTCATTAATGCATTTAGTTGTTCACCTCGTGCAGATTTTGATTGAACAGCTTCACGAAGAAGATCTCTATAAAAAAAATTGTCGTTTGTTTTCATATTAATATTCAATTTTTGATTCTTACCCAGTACTTAAATGTGTAAATCCATATTTTTCAACAATTCGTTCACATTGTGTACCTTTTCCTGATCCTAATAGAATAAAAAATTCTTGATTATGAATATAAACAGAAAATAAGAATAACCTGGTCCACCGACGACAAAGATGATTTTGCTATTTTTCAATTTATCTAATGCAGATGTCTGTCCAACAACTAAAAAAAAACAAAAACAAAATTACAAATAATTGATTAATATTAATAACATTTAAAAGGGTAAAAATATTGCACAATGATCAGAAAATTGAATCAAAATAATGTGTAGAAAGTGTTCGGGGAAATTTTCTTTCACTCTCACCGGGTGCCATATTTGTTATGTATTATTTTTTTGTATTTTTGTGCAGACCAGTATATCTTCCAAACAACTATTAGCACAATGAGAAGACGAACAACAAGAAGAAAGACTAGTTATATAAGTATTTGGTACTATGAAAAACAGTAGGGAGGAGAAAAAAAACGAGAAAGATAAGCAGAGGTAGAGGAAACGAGGAGAAAAAAAATGTAAGACGCCAATGCTTCCTAAATAATATGTTGCGGCAAACGAAGAAGAAACTATCGTAGCCATAAATGTACAAACTAATCCTTCGCCAATCTAGCAAGATATAACCTTTCAAGCATATGCTTGTTGTTTTGCTTCTCTCATCGCATAAAAACAAAAAAAAAAGAAGACTCAATAATACCAAACATGGATGTCAGACCGACTTAGCAGTTTGTTCTGAGAAAATAAGTACAAATACATAAACATGCAGTGATGACAATACGATTATTCTTTTTTTTCTATCATAACAAATTCCATAAATAATGTATAAGTAAAGAATAATAATTTTTGTATCAGAAAACGTGACTTTCAAATACACAATAGTGAAAAAAATGGGGAAGGGTCACATGTATACCTTCATTTGATAAATCATGGTCACTATTAATCTGAAAAATAAAGATTTTTATCGTTGGATTTGAGTTTTCATATATGAAAAAAATTATATAGAGAAAAAAAACGATTCTTCTTGTTTACCTACTTGCTTTTGTTCCATTAAGCCAGCCAATGCATGAGATACATCATCAAATATTTCATCTGCTTCTCGATTAGCATCAATCGTTATTAATTTTCCTTGTTTACCATAATAACCCAAAATAGGTGTTGTTTGTTCATGAAATGTAACTAAACGCTTGGCAATTGTTTCTTGATTATCATCAATTCGACCACTTGTTTCACCACGTTTTATTAATCGTTCAATCATTATTTCATCCGGTACATCAAAATAAATTAAAACATCACATGAAGCAACTTCATTTTCAAATTGTATACCTATGAATAAAAATAAACTAGAATTAATTTCTGTTATTAATAATAAATAGATAATCAAAACTTAGCAATATAATAAAAAGGAGAAATCAATCAAAGACTTACTAGATTTTATTTTACTACTGGAATGAAAATAAACATAAATTTTAGATGTTAATGATTAGAAAGTAAAAAAAAGAAATAGTATTTTTATTCATTACCTTGATCAACGCGACGTGGAAATCCGTCTATTAAAAAGCCGGAAGCTTCATTAGCTCTTTCTTGAATAGCATCTTTAAGTAAGCCAAGTATATCTTCCTGAAAAAAGAAATGGAGAAAAATTTAGTCTTTTTTTTTTCTCTACTGTTAATTCTCTTATTGTATGTTACCGTTGAAATAAGTTTTCCTTGTGACATAGCTTCATTAAAATAACGACCTTTGTCGGTTGTTGAATCTTGTGAAGCTGCTCGAATTAAATCACCAGCTGATAAATGTGTAAAACCATATTTTTCAATCATTTTTTCACATTGTGTTCCTTTACCACTACCTTTAATGATGATAAAATTTTATTTATATAAAACTAATGTGTTTATTTTCATACCTGGTCCACCACCAACAAAAATAATTGGTTTGCCTTTAAGCAAATCTTGAATATTGACTTCTTCAGTTTTAATATGTTGATGATCATCCACTTCTTCTTGTTGTTGATCATCCACTTTTTCTTGTTGTTGATCTGGTATTGGTGATTGCGGAAGATCTTCAATTTTTGGTCTTTCTTCTCGTTTTCCTGTTGGTATAGCATCAAGTTTTGGTGAACGAGTCATTTCTGTACGAAAAGAAGAAGGTGGCGACGTAATATTTGTATTTGTCGAAGTTTTCAGTGGAACCAACGTATTATTCATACCACCTTTTCGTCCAATAAATGTATCCCATTTTAATTGTTGATTGCCATCTTTATACTATACGAAAAAAAAAAAGATAATATCTACTCTTTTTATATTTTGGTTAATATTTGTCATAAAACGTACACGTGTTAAAGATTCAATAATGAAGTCAATGTGATCTTCTGGTTTATGAACCATAAGACCAGTGATTAATGCCTAGTAAACAAAAAAATTTAGATCGTTCTATTTTCTTTTAAATATTAATTAAAACTAATTTACTTCAAATAGTTGAGGAATTTTTCGTTTAGCAATATAATCTTTTGCTAATTCTGTATTAGCATTTGTATTCATTTGATTCATTATTGGAAGACAATATTGAATATTTTCAATAAAATATAAAAACTAAAATCTACAAAAAAAAAACAATACCGATATTGAAACTGAGTTTGTATTTTTTTTTGTGTGTTTTCTTTTGCATTTGTTTTCTTTTTTTGCTTTTTTGTTACAAAGACGATATAGTACAACGAACAAATGAATATTTACTCACATCTGTTCTTCGCACTATTCCTATGCGAAGAGGACGAGGGTAAAAAAGAATGACAGACAGAGAAAAAAAGAGGAAAATGCATCTGATCACCAACACTACTACTGCTTCTTCCATAGGGGTAGACTTTGAGGCACAAAAAAAAAATGTATGAGACTATAAATGGGATGAAAGCAAGCGTACATCAGAATGAAAGCAAGGGAGAAGGAAAAGAGGTCTGACCCAGCTATATTGCACATTAAACATGACGATAAGACTAGATGTAGAAAAAAAAATAACGTCACATAAAATAAAAAAAGCGTAGATCATCAATTCAAAAAATATTGCAAATATTCGCTTTCAAATACGTTCAAGTATATCTTTCTTGAGATCTTCATAAATTTCATCAACTTCCATTCGACAATCGATCTGAAATAAATAAATAAATAACAAACAATAGAATATTAATTTACTCAAAGAATTTATTTGACTTACAAAAATAGCTTTATTTTCTCGTCTAAACTTTTCAATAATACTATTGAATTCACCATTTTTTGTTTCAGTTTTATGATCACCAATATAAATGAATGCTGCACAAGGACCAATCTTAAATAAAATAGAAAGTTTTTTTTTTTTCAAAAATCAATAAGTAATAAAGATATAAAAAAGTCTAATATTTACTTCTGTTTGAAATTTTTGAAGATTGTCAAATGAATTTGGAAAATGTTCAATAATATAACCAGTACATGTACTCATTGATTCAATAATTGTTGTTTTTAATTGATCAAAATTAAGTAAAATATTATTGTAATCTCCAAATTGAATATGTTTAAATGAAAATTGTTCGGCTAAACGTTCACATAATGTATAAATAAATGAATTATTACTTTCAACTTCGCTTCCTTCATTAGTTATATCAAATTCATCATCAATTGATAAATTTTCGACAAGTTCATTTTCATTACTATTATTATTATGTTCTTTTATTAATAGACGATGAATATCAATACAAAATATAATTGGTAAAGTAAAATTATTTGTATTTGATTGAATTAACTGAGAATGTTGATTCAATGATATCTATATGAAAAAATCAATAAATTTTATTATTTCGTTTCTTTACACATAAGTTTGAGCGGCTATCGGGATTTGTCGTTTTTTGAATTTATCTGAATTTATTCTATTGATGGCGTATAATACATTTTAACTGTATAAAAAGATAGCCATAGTTCTCAAAAGTCAGCCTTCACCTTTACGAGAAAACTGCTCAAACTGATATCCATCATGTCAGCTTATATTGGATTCACAATGAGACCTCGGTAGGACTACAAAAGTCCTAAAAGGATTCGTCCTCATAGGTCTGTAGAATAGAGCTATGACCGTTTTAATAAATTTTCGATTCAGCTTTAAGTATATACCTAAAAAGTCAAATAATGATATTTCTGAAATTTTGACCATAGATAGGTCTGATAACTCAAAGAATAATCGAAAGTTTCACTCGAAAAGAATGCTGCTTTGTCGAAATATTGAATTCTTAATTGAACTCGATTTTTTTGACATATCTGTTGGAACATTCTTTTCGGTCGAAACTTTCAAGCTATGCCTGAAGTCATCGGATCTATCTATGAACCAGATTTCATGCTGAAATTCCGTTATTTGATTTTTCTGTGAATACTTAAAAATGGGTTTTAAAATTCAGTAAAACGATGGTAACTTGGTTTCAGAAACTCATGGGTACAAATCCCTTTAGAATTTTTCTAGTCTAACCGAGACCTCCTCGTGAACTCAATATCAGCTCACACAATGATTATCAGTTCAGGTAGTTCTCTCGTTAGCGAATTTGCAATCATATGTGTCGTTTTCGATCTTATCCTCAGCTAGATATCTGTCTTTAGCCTAGTTACATTTATTCTATGATAAAATGTAGAACGAGATTTCTTTAAAATCCTAATAGTCTTCTCTCCCCTTCAAAAAAATCCCGAAAGCTGCTGATAGAATTTACATTATGAGGAAAGATTTCATCAACAGCACGAATCGCATCGGCAAGTATAACGTCAAAATCATTATTTGAGTCGATCTAAAAATAATTTTTTTTTTGTTATTAATGGAATAATATAATTAATTATTTTACTTGAATAATACCCATATTTTGATTTGATATCGTTTGTTTATTGGATGATAAAATAATTATTAAATCAATACGTCCGAGCTACATTAAGATTAATTGCAAAAAGATGTGAATTTTGCAGAATTAATAGAAAAAAATATTACCTTTTCTTGCCACTTATCATAAAAATGTTTTTCATCAAGATGACCAGCTATAAGAAAACCATGAGAATTTAAACGACGTTGTTCTATTGCATGTTGAACACAATCATATCGATGTTCATATTTTCGAAGATCTAAAAAAAAAGATTTGTTTTAGTCGAGAATTTTATTTCATTAAAAACAAAAATTCTTTTTACCAATTGAATCATCTTCATCAATATTTGCGATATCATTAATCAATAAATAATTTATTCCTTCGTAACGTTCGATTAATCTTGAACATAATCTTGTTGAACCGGAGGAACCTTAAAAGAATATGAAAAAAAAAACAAACAAAACAAATCTATGAAATTTTTTATTTATTTTCGGAGTAGAAAAATTTACTTAGAACAAGAACAATAGGTGGATTTTGAGAGTGTTTTTTGCTATTATCAATTGGTGGTAATGCTGGTGTTTTGATTGGTGTTTGACGATTTGAAGTATGACTTGGTTTTACTGTTAAATTTGAACTACGAACAGGAGGTAATGGTTTTTGTCGACTTTTGACAATTCCTGGTCTTGGTGGCAAGACACCTTTTGTATTACTCGTATTTGTCACAAAATGATCCCAGCGAAGACGATTTGGATGATTTTGCACCTAGAATTTTTGTTTAAAAAAATTGTGAAGAAATTTCGAAAAGAAAACTAAAAATTCAACCTTGTCTAAACATTCACGAATAAACGCAATATGATCATCAGGTTTATGAACCATTAAAGCTGTCATTATGGCCTAAAAAAGTATAAAAGAAACTGTTTTTTAAAATTTTCTTAGTTTCACGACGCTTTAAAAAGAAAAACACACAACAATGGTAGAGCAGTTATCGATATGAAAATATCGAAAAACTGACTTTGGATATCGAAAGTCTTCAAAAAAATAAAATATCCATTTTTTTTGTCACGACTAGATTAGTCAAGTAATGGCAGCAATTTACGAGGAAACCTCTTCAGATATTTCAAATAAACATGTATCGATGTCATGTCAGGCAGCTCGAGCGATTCACGAAATGTTATTCTCTCTTAATATGTTTGGATCATACATTCTTTACTGACAATGCTATATATTTACATTCATACACATTAACAGAACAATTACTAAATCTCTACTAATGAAACAACAAAACATAACCTATGACAACTACTATCGGAAACACTAAAAATAAATGCACCATATCTTTCCAAAAATTTAGGGAGAAAAAACAATCACTTGAAAATTTCAGTCGAGTTCAAGAGTCTTTGATATAAAGTAGTCTAACATTTGATTACAATTTTCTTAAATGTCGCGAAAATATTCTACCTCGAATAATTCATGAATTCCTTTTTTATTTATATAATTAGTAGCATGTTGATTGTTATAAAGTCCGTGTGATCTTGTTGCCATGATTACTTGAAAATATACAGTTGACTGAGATCTAATGAATTAATTCAATATATATTTATTTGTTTCTATTGATTGAAATACAATTACTTTTTTTCTGTATATCTAAAAAAAAAAGAATTAAAAAAAAAATTGTGTCAAAAGGAATTTTTTCAATTCAAAACATGATTTCAAACATGTTTAGAAAGAAAGTAAAGTATGATAAACAAATGTTGAATAAATTCACTAATCAATAACAAGTGATAAAAGAAATAGAATAAAAATATTTTAAATCACAATTTTTAATTTATTTATTTTTATCATGCATTTGAATAAATGTATCCCATTGAAGTGGTAATTTCTGTTTTTTCATCTAAATAATAAAATGAACAGAGAAAAAAAAGAATCAATTCATGAACATATTAAATCATAGATATAAACTTACTTTTGCTAAACTATCAATAATAAAATCATAATGATCATCCGGTTCATAATTCATTAAGCCAGCCATAAGTGCCTAAATGATATTTTGTTTTTTATTGAAATAAATAAATCATTTTATGTCTACTTCAAATAAAATTGGAATTTGTCGTTCAGATATATAAAGTTTTTTTCGTTCACTAACTGGATCTTCATTTGTTTTTGTAAATGATGTCATCTGAAAATAATATTTCAAAATGTGATTAAGACAAGCAAAAGAAAAAAAAAAGATAATATTAGTGTGATCACAAATTTCAGGACAAAAAAAAACAAGAACGCATAATTTTACAATTGACCTAAGGCATAGCTATGTTAAATGGATTTACATCACTGGAAAGAAAAAAATAAAAAAAAAAAAAAAAAATAATAATAAGATAAGTTTTTAAACACTGGTTGTTTCGCTTGGTTTTGTTAACACAGATGCACCTTTTATTGGTGATGAAACAGCTGTTTGATGAAGTTGAAGATTTTCAAGAATAAAATTTCGTTTCTTAGCTCCTGCTCGTCGGTTAGCGTATTCATCGCTATTTACTGATGGTAAACTTGAACGATTTTGTGGTGGTTCATAATGTGGTAATATACCACGAACAACATATTTCCATTGATGATCTTGTGCCTAAAACAATAAACAAAAATTTTATTTCATTTTTTTGAAAAAATATAATAAAATTAATAGAAAAATATTCAATTTTTTTT